TGGACTGGTGACATAAGGTGGATAGGACTAGCATGTCGTTTGAGCACCTGCTGATCATCTCGAGGCACGGCCTTCTTCGCCTCAACCTGAAATACAAATTGATCCTTAACACTCTTAAAACACTTGCAAAGTTCCCAAATCAAATCAGATGTTTCATAAAGCAAATGCAGCTAAACCATGTGCATTTTCCTCCTCCAAGATCTAAATTAGAGGGGATTGGTAAAACTAACCGTGCGGCCATCGATGATGTGTTTCTCCATGATCACTCTCTCTGCAACACAAGGATCTGCAAAGACGATGAATCCGAAGCCACGAGCACGTCCTGTGGCACGATCTCTCATGATCACAGCTTCAACAAGATCACCATACTTGCTAAAATACTCTCTTAGCCTTTCTTCATCTGTGTCCCACGAAATCCCACCAATGAAGAGCTTCCCCAGATCCGATTCCATCTCTTAAACAATAATAATAAATAAATAACCAAACTTTAATCTCAGCGATGAGTCGTCTCAGATAGAAATTGAATAATCAAAGACGATGGAACATACTTTTTGCTTGTCTGAAAATCTAGACGGAATCCGATCTTTTGTTGTTGTTGTTGTCCTGATCAAATAGCGAATTTGGGTGATCTTCAAATCTGAGAAAAAAAAAAATGTATCATCAAAATCATAGAACCAAAAACCCAGAAGAAAAAATAAAAGATTATTAAGATGAAAAACGGCAATTAATTGAGGGAAAATGACTAAACTCTAGATTAATTAAACAAAGGGAAAAAGAAAAATTTGAACTTTAAGAAAGAAAGAAAAAATTCACCATTTTTGGAGATGACCCAGACGAGGAAATGTGTAAAATAGAGAAACAGAGGATGTTTTGTTCATCCTATAAAGAACAACATCATCTCTCTCTCTCTCTCAAGCTTATTAAAAAACCTTTTTTTTTGTTTTCTTTTGATCTCTGTTAATGGTTTTCTTTCTTTAATAAATTTATTAAGAAGAGTTCTTTGGTAATATTTTTTTTTTAAAAGAGAGAACGATATAGTCCCACATTATAATAATAGGGCAAAAGATTTGAGATTTAGCTTTCTTATGGTTTAAGCATCTTTTTTTTTGGAGGGGATTTTGTAAGAGAGAGGTCCTAAAGAGAAATGACAGAAGATGATGACCTTTTTTAATTTTACCTAGTGTATTACCTGCCCCTAAGCGAGATTTTATTTTTTAATAATGATCTTTAAAAAAAATAAGGGATAGTGTTCACCTGAAAATTATCCTATTAAAACTGTATGTGAAGGAAACAATCATATTCAAAACCCAATATTAATAGAAGATAGAAAATCAAAGTAAAAAATCTTATAGAAACTACATGTCAAAGAAATTAAGAATATTCCAAACCATGATATTTTAAGATACGGTGAGGCAAGCGCGGGATAGTATTCAAGTGACATATCAATTCGATTATTCAAATGACAGAAATTCACTACTTAACATATTGCTAATCGAGTTTAAAACTATATATTTGTTAGGGTAATGAATTATAAWAATCTATATATCAGAAAAAATAAATTAGAGATAATAACATTTTGATTCTTGTGTTCGTCTCCCTTTTCTCCCTCGAATATTCTCTTCCTATCTTTCTTATTTTTTATGAGTATTTATAGAAGAATGACACACTCAGCCAATACTTTTTGTCTAGTCACATCGTCCATATCTTTCCTAGAGTGGTTGGTGTTTACTTTGACGGCATATGATTATAAAGCTAGCCTAGTCTGTCAGGGACAYYYCGASAAAAAACATAYTCTATTRTTCTCACAGTTGAAAWKTTTWWAMAAATTTGGCACAARMATTAATATTATGAARTATGATTTGAAGTATAATTTAAACTTTTGCATAATAGAGCTTGATAATACACAATTTTATTTTATAAAATATAAAAAAACTAACTACATATAAATTATTTAATTACTATTTTATACTACTGTGCATTTGATTTGTTTTAATAAAAACCTGAGGCACTTAGAAAAAGACATGCTTCCCATGTTAAAAGACTTCTAATAAAACGCTCTAAGAATCTCTCGTTTGAAAATCCATTCTCATCGTTTATCTTTGAAACAATACTTTTATCTTTTGTTATTTTTTATTTTTTGAGACTTAGTGATGTGAGATAACTCAATCAAAATCATAAAACGCAAAAGTCAAAGTTTTATTACTCAAACTCAACATAATGATACTTTTAGGACGTAAGAGTAAGATTATATGATTTCGTCCGAAACAATTTATTTATTTCCGTCAGTGGGAAATCATCCGTGGAAGCCATGGGGCCATGAGAACGAYCTCACCGCCGGGAGTAGAAGGTGAAACTCGATGTTGGGGTTATGGCTGAAGGTTTGG